TGAAGAACCTTAAAGATATTTTCCACAAAATAATCTTTAAAAAATACTACAATAAATGGAAATCTCGATACCGTCATGGTCATTTGATACATTTTTAATATGTAATGATGTAAACAAACCTTGAAAGATCTTGTAAATTTCATTATCAAGATCAAGATGGCTGTGAAAACCAATGGGTTAGTCATACTATTGATTATTAATTATGGCATTAATACATTTTTTCGATTTGCCATATATTATAACGCGGTTTCACTTTTAATAATAAAAAAAATCTTTCACTTGTAAAGACAATTCGGGGACATACTGTATATATTTTTACCTGTCCTAAAACTGGTGTTTTCCGATTTGTAGTACTTTTCCACAATGGTCACAAAAATAACTGACCTATCCCAATTAAAGAGATAGTACTTGAAAGGTTGTAAAAGAGGTTGAACTTGGTACTGTCTACCTGAAGGCTACAGTTACACAAAAAATATGTATATTTTTAATATACTCCTAGTATATCAATCACTATTAATTATTATAATTATGTGAATATTCGATTTTGTTTACAGAATTTTTGGTAATCTCAATATGTAAGAAACTATCATATAAAATTATAAGATTTTACTACAAAAATATGTATTCTCCATAAAAAGTCATGGACCAAAGTTGTTTTTTTAATGATACACCCTATATATTAATTGAATTTCGGCTTCTAGAAAAAAATAAAGGTTTTATATTTCATTGAAGAAGCATATATGACCTAAAATATTTTATAGTGGGTTTTTGCCATATTTAATAGTGATGTCGATTTTCGATTTTACTTTTCGATGACGATTGTACTTTTGATTACTGGTTACTAATCATTACTTGCCTACTAAGTAATCATTTCAAATATCCGTTACTTTGATTACTATGATTACATTTTACTGATTTTGGAACTGCTGTCAATTTTGTCAACTGCTGTCAACCATTGTGTCTAATTTCACCTGCTTATGAGACATATTTTGGAAAATAAATTCTTAGTACACAGGTTTGTTAGAACCATTATTACAATTCTTTGTACTAATATTCAAAAGTTCACTTGTATAAAATTTCACCCCTAATTTCACCCTCTTAGGGGATGAATTTTAATTTTTTTTTTTCGTATCTGAGCATTTACTTTCATCACTTAAGGGCACAATATTCTATGCAAATTTTCATACATACAAATAAATTTTTTTTTTCTGAACATACACCTCTAATCTCACACCACTAAGAAGGGATTTTGGAAAAGGCGAATTTCTAAATATCGCTCTTTAGTGCTCAGTTACGTTACCTAAGGAACTTCTACGCAAAATTTCATACTTCTAAAACCCATTTTAACAAATTTTTGAGACAACTTTCGCCTCTTATTTTACCCTCTTAGAACCCTTTTTAAAAAAATATATACAAAATTTCACCACCAGTTTTACCATCGCTTCTCAGGGCTCAGTTATGTCACCCAAGCCTCTGTGCAATATATTATACTTTTAAAAGCGATTTTAACAAATTTTTGTACAAATTTTCACCCCTAACTTTACCCTCGTAGTGGATAAATTTCCAAAAATCGGGTATCCACTTTTGTCACTTAAGAATCTCTGCAACTTTTTATGCAACCCCTTAGCGGCCGAATTTCCAAAAATACCCTCTTAGTGCTCACTACATCACTAAAGGAACACATTTGCCAAATTTCGTGTTTCTATGTCAAGCAGTTTCGGCTGTGCATTATTATTATCATTATTATATTTTCAAAGAATTCGCATTTGATTACATTTACAATACTATGTAAACTGTTAGATAAAAAGTGGTTATTTATTTATTCAATAAATGTTTGTTAGTTATATTTTACTAGTTTTAGCAAGAACAATTATTCATTGCCCTATTTCAAAATTAAAAATCTAAAATTTTATTTCTGTTAATACCCCACTTCATATAATCTACTAAAGCGTGGTATCCATAGACTTAAAATAAAATATAGACTGAGCATCTCATTCATAAATAGCTGGAACATGCGGTCAGACAATGTCTTGTTATTGTTTTGGGTTATAACGAGTGCGACACGAGCGATAGATAGTTTGTCTCTGTCGTAACGGTCGTTCCCTGACGACTCTGCCGAGAAACACAACACTGTCTTTCATTTCTCAAGTACACCTGAACTCTCCGTATCATAGCCGGGTAATTTTTTTATTTTAATGAAGCTATAATTAAATTAAAAATATATCGTTTTTAAACTTTTTTATATTTTATTAAGATTTAGGACAGATTTTTTAAATAAAAGTTTAGAAAAAACGTCTTAGAGTCCAAAAAGGATAAAAATAATAAAATACACGTTAGAAAAGAAATTTTATAATCGAAATTACGTAATTTTTGAAATTAATAATAAATTATTAATTTTAGTCAAACATTTACAACCCCTGATATTAATCAACACAGGATCTATTCCACAGATATAATAGAATCGGCGACAGGGAGAGAAAAAAAAATATGATTGTTGTAACTTTTTTTCTGGTTAAGTGATGTCTTATTATGTAAATTAGAGAAAACATGAATCTGTTCCATTAAAGCAAGGAAGGTGATAGGAAGTGGATAAAATGAAAACTACATTTATTTAACTCGGTACTGTCTTTGTTATACCGGGTGCGTCCCAAAAGTGGCTCATCCCCCAATAATTTTTTTATATTTTCAAATAAAAAAAACAAGATTTAGTATGCTAGTATATGACATAAATTAGGATTAATTGAGGCATTCAATTGTTTTTGGTCACTTCCTGTTTCACCGGAAATGACTATAACTTTTAATTTTTAAACGGCACCCTCGGTATATTTCTACTTTATTCGATAGAAAATGACACTCTGGGTAGAATAACATATCATATGTCAACTTTTGACATTTTCGCATATGGTTTAATTGTAATTGTAACACGCGGTTCATAACGACAATTTGACTCGAAATACCAAGTGTGTGGTATCAATATATTCATAAAAAAATGCTTTTTCCAAATATGCTAATGAGTCACCCTTGTTCCATTTGAAAAAATATGAATGACATATGTATGATTAAAAATACGATTTGTACATCTTTTAACCGGCCTAGACACGACACGAAACCTATTAGACGATCAAAACTATTTTCCAAGGCTCCTTGATTAAAACCTAGTGTTTTTAACAACACCATGGCACCCTGGATTGAAATTTAAAATACGATTTGTTTTTAAGCGACAATGTCAAAAGTTGACATATGATATGTCATTCTATTCACAGTGTCATTTTTTATCGAATAAAGTAGCAATATACCGAGGGTGTCTTTAAAAATCAAAAGATGTAATCATTTCAGTGAAACAGGAAGAGACCAAAAACAATTGAATACATCAATAAATCCTAATTTCTGTCATATACCTACTAACATACAAATCTGGTTTTTTTTTATCTGAAAAAAATAAAAAAGTTATAGGGGTTGAAACGACCCGGTATATTAAAAAATATTGTTTCATAATATCATTTTAAAAATCTTGTATGTTATTTTAGACTCTGAAGATAATTTTAGAATAAACCGGAATATATTTGTAATAAAAACATTATTAATTATTAACAGGGTTATAATTATGATTTTGTTACAATGTAAGTAAGTAAATAATAGTAATGTAAGAGAAAAAAATCAGATTTTACATTTTACTAAAATATTATCTAAATAAGCGCTTTTCTACCACAACGCCACTGACTCCTAATGGGTAAATTGAGAGTTGCCTACCGGTCGAAAGTCGTTTCAAGACTTAAATGGATTATTTAAGTCAAATTTCTTGCAAATTTGGCACTGGCGAACCATATTTTATAGTTCTTGAACAGAAAAAATCAATAAAATAAACACTTAAGGACTACAAGCTAAGAAAATGCGTTAATACAGCCGGGGACATAGCGGCAACAAAGCTTTACCGCACACGCGACGAGTACTACAAAGGTAATAAATGAATGAATAGGCTCCCTCGCCTCTAATCGGTGTTGTCATATTGTAAAGAACTTATCCTTTTTAAACAGTATCCGACTTATAATTTAGTAGTATAAGGACTATTTAATACATCTATGGAATATTAAAACCTACTTTATTAAAATGTAGTATTAATATCTCAATATATGTGTATAACAAGAAAAAAAAATATTGATAATATTAAAGACGTGACAACATAGGCTGGATGAGGAAAGCTCGGTCGACTGTACCCAGAAGTAAACATGTGTACAAAAAAGATTGTTTGACCGCGTTGAGATGTAAATAGTGTAGTCTATATTTTATTTTAAGTCTATGGTGGTATCCTATTTTTAACCTCCTGTATATTATATAATTTCTTTCATGTTTATTTTTTCAATCTTTAAAAATCATTACTAAATGAAAAGAAATTTCACAATATTTAATAATCATTTTTATTTTGAAGTATGTATAATTTTACTTTTTGATTTAACACTATAGGAAATATTATTTACACTTTACACAGTACTTAACCCTAACAGGAATTCATATAAATTTAAGTAGTAATGTATAATCTACATATATTTACTGATCACAGATGAGATTCAAGATATACAGGGTGGTCAAAAATATATGTATAAAAGTTCGTACACATTCGGGCCTCGTTTTGGAGATACGGGGTAGTGAACTTTCTTCTTTTTTGGGCACAGAGTAGGATTTTAACAACGCAAAAATTACTGTGAAAGAAGCGATAGTCTTTTAAACGAAAAACAGAAGAGGCTTTTTTAATACAGTCATATAAATAAATGTATTGGAAATTTATTCGCGACCAAACTTCAAAAGAAATTATTTGGAAAAAATCGAAATAAAAATGAAACTTCCACACCCTGTATCTTCTAAACGAAGCGTTTTAGGACATGTACCTTTTTTACTTATTTTTATCTGCAGAATATAACACCCAAAGAAAATAATAAAAAATATCACTGAATGTCTTTAAAATTGACCAATCATTTTACTAAACGTTTATAAATTTTATTATTCTATAGTGCATTTTTTTCTACAATTTTTTCGTGTTCTTCTTTAGTACTCTCCTTTTTCACAAAATATTCCTGGATTTCCTCCAGAGTTTTACCTCTGGTCTCTGGCAAAAAAATGATTACAAATATAGTTCCAACTACGGCCATACCTCCGTAAAAGAAAAACACTCCGTAGGCGTTCATACTTTCCATCATAGTAGGGTACAATTTCACCGTTATAAAAAACAGAAAGTTACAGCCTGCACCAAAACCCAAGTGGCAGGCACACCTCTTATATTTCCGATATACTAGAAGATAATGCAAAAGGTATAGGGTAGAATCCCATGGTACTTATAAAGAAATACAGTATCAATAAAGACAGAGGAATCAGAGTCAGTTTTTTCTCCAACTCTTCACTGATTAGTCCTTGTTTGATACATAAAATATAACTACCCAGAGTCAGCATACAGATTGACATTCCTGTCCCTGATACAATACTGAGCGGTCTTCTACCGTAATGCTTGCTGGAGTAACTCAGCAATAACATAGCTACAAGTCGGACTGTAGCTATCAAAACTATCGTTATGTAAGCATCCAGCTCTATTTTAGCTCCCTGAACTATATCGATTGCATAGAACATTATAACGAAAATTCCTGTGAATTGCTGGAAGAAGAAATAGGTGATGACTAAGAAGAATGGTTTAAAGAAACTTTTTTTCATCCGGAGTTTGACTTTTTGGTGAATTGTTGATAAAGTTTCTTATTTTCTACTTTTACTTATTCTTATCTGCATAATAAACCACCCTGTACATAAAATACTTAGTTAATCAGCCGCAAAAGAAGTAAATATAAAAGAAAATAATAAAAATATCACTGAATGTCTTAAAATTGACCGATCATTTTACTAAACCGTAATAAATTTTATTATTCTATACTGCATTTTTTTCTACAATTTTTTCGTGTTCTTCTTTAATACTCTCCTTCTTCACAAAGTATTCCTGGATTTCCTCCAGAGTTTTACCTCGGGTCTCTGGCAAAAAAATGATTACAAATATAGTTCCAACTACGGCCATACCTCCGTAAAAGAAAAACACTCCGTAGGCGTTCGTACTTTCCATCATAGTAGGGTACAATTTCACCGTTATAAAAAACAGAAAGTTACAGCCCGCACCAAAACCCGCGGCAGTACCTCTTATATTTCCGGGATATACTTCAGAAGATAATGCAAAAGGTATAGGGTAGAATCCCATGGTACTTATAAAGAAATACAGTATCAATAAAGACAGAGGAATCAGAGTCAGTTTTTTCTCCAACTCTTCACTGATTAGTCCTTGTTTGATACATAAAATATAACTACCCAGAGTCAGCATACAGATTGACATTCCTGTCCCTGATACAATACTGAGCGGTCTTCTACCGTAATGCTTGCTGGAGTAACCCAGCAATAACATAGCTACCAGTCGGACTGCAGCTATCAAAACTATCGTTATGTAAGCATCTAGCTCTACTTTAGCTCCCTGAACTATATCGATTGCATAGAACATTATAACGAAAATTCCTGTGAATTGCTGGAAGAAGAAATACGTGATATTCTCAAGAAGAATGGTTTAGCAACTTTTTTTTTCATCCGAGTTTGACTTTTTGGTGAATTGTTGATAAAGTTTATTTTCTACTTTTACTTATTCTTATCTGCATAGTAAACCACCCTGTACATAAAATACTTAGTTAATCAGCCGCAAAAGAAGTAAATATAAAAGAAAATAATAAAAATATCACTGAATGTCTTAAAATTGACCGATCATTTTACTAAACCGTAATAAATTTTATTATTCTATACTGCATTTTTTTCTACAATTTTTTCGTGTTCTTCTTTAGTACTCTCCTTCTTCACAAAGTATTCCTGGATTTCCTCCAGAGTTTTGCACTGGTCTCTGGCAAAAAATGATTACAAATATAGTTCCAACTACGGCCATACCACCGTAAAAGAAAAACACTCCGTAGGCGTTCATACTTTCCATCATAGTAGGGTACACTTCACTGCTAAAGTTAAACAGAAAGCCACAGCCTGCACCAAACCCGCAGTACCTCTTATATTTCCGGGATATACTTCAGAAGATAATGCAAAAGGTATAGGGTAGAATCCCATGGTACTTATAAAGAAATACAGTATCAATAAAGACAGAGGAATCAGAGTCAGTTTTTTCTCCAACTCTTCACTGATTAGTCCTTGTTTGATACATAAAATATAACTACCCAGTGTCAGCATACAGACTGACATTCCTGTCCCTGATACAATACTGAGCGGTCTTCTACCGTAATACTTGCTGGAGTAACTCAGCAATAACATAGCTACCAGTCGGACTGTAGCTATCAAAACTATCGTTATGTAAGCATCTAGCTCTACTTTAGCTCCCTGAACTATATCGATTGCATAGAACATTATAACGAAAATTCCTGTGAATTGCTGGAAGAAGAAATAGGTGATGACTAAGAAGAATGGTTTAAAGAAACTTTTTTTCATCCGGAGTTTGACTTTTTGGTGAATTGTTGATAAAGCTTATTTTCTACTTTACTTATTTCATTCTGCATAATAAACCACCCTGTACATAAAAAATACTTAGTTAATCTCGCTGCAAAAGAAGTAATATAAAAGAAAATACTAAAAATATCACTAATGCCTAAAATTGACCGATCATTTTACTAAACCGTAATAAATTTTATTATTCTATACTGCATTTTTTTCTACAATTTTTTCGTGTTCTTCTTTAGTACTCTCCTTCTTCACAAAGTATTCCTGGATTTCCTCCAGAGTTTTACCTCGGGTCTCTGGCAAAAAAATGATTACAAATATAGTTCCAACTACGGCCATACCACCGTAAAAGAAAAACACTCCGTAGGCGTTCATACTTTCCATCATAGTAGGGTACAATTTCACCGTTATAAAAAACAGAAAGTTACAGCCCGCACCAAAACCCGCGGCAGTACCTCTTATATTTCCGGGATATACTTCAGAAGATAATGCAAAAGGTATAGGGTAGAATCCCATGGTACTTATAAAGAAATACAGTATCAATAAAGACAGAGGAATCAGAGTCAGTTTTTTCTCCAACTCTTCACTGATTAGTCCTTGTTTGATACATAAAATATAACTACCCAGAGTCAGCATACAGATTGACATTCCTGTCCCTGATACAATACTGAGCGGTCTTCTACCGTAATGCTTGCTGGAGTAACTCAGCAATAACATAGCTACCAGTCGGACTGTAGCTATCAAAACTATCGTTATGTAAGCATCTAGCTCTACTTTAGCTCCCTGAACTATATCGATTGCATAGAACATTATAACGAAAATTCCTGTGAATTGCTGGAAGAAGAAATAGGTGATGACTAAGAAGAATGGTTTAAAGAAACTTTTTTTCACTGAGTTTGACTTTTTGGTGAATTGTTGATAAAGTTTCTTATTTTCTACTTTTACTTATTCTTATCTGCATAATAAACCACCCTGTACATAAAATACCTAGTTAATCAGCCGCAAAAGAAGTAAATATAAAAGAAAATAATAAAATATCACTAATGTCTTAAAAATTGAACATTAAAAAAACATTTAAAAAAAAATAAATTTTATTATTCTATACTGCATTTTTTTCTACAATTTTTTCGTGTTCTTCTTTAGTACTCTCCTTCTTCACAAAGTATTCCTGGATTTCCTCCAGAGTTTTACCTCGGGTCTCTGGCAAAAAATGATTACAAATATAGTTCCAACTACGGCCATACCTCCGTAAAAGAAAAACACTCCGTAGGCGTTCATACTTTCCATCATAGTAGGGTACAATTTCACCGTTATAAAAAACAGAAAGTTACAGCCTGCACCAAAACCCGCGGCAGTACCTCTTATATTTCCGGGATATACTTCAGAAGATAATGCAATGATAGGGTAGAATCCCATGGTACTTATAAAGAAATACAGTATCAATAAAGACAGAGGAATCAAAGTCAGTTTTTTCTCCAACTCTTCACTGATTAGTCCTTGTTTGATACATAAAATATAACTACCCAGAGTCAGCATACAGACTGACATTCCTGTCCCTGATACAATACTGAGCGGTCTTCTACCGTAATGCTTGCTGGAGTAACTCAGCAATAACATAGCTACCAGTCGGACTGTAGCTATCAAAACTATCGTTATGTAAGCATCCAGCTCTATTTTAGCTCCCTGAACTATATCGATTGCATAGAACATTATAACGAAAATTCCTGTGAATTGCTGGAAGAAGAAATAGGTGATGACTAAGAAGAATGGTTTAAAGAAACTTTTTTTCATCAGGAGTTTGACTTTTTGGTGAATTGTTGATAAAGTTTCTTATTTTCTACTTTTACTTATTCTTATCTGCATAGTAAACCACCCTGTACATAAAATACTTAGTTAATCAGCCGCAAAAGAAGTAAATATAAAAGAAAATAATAAAAATATCACTGAATGTCTTAAAATTTTACCATCGTTTTACTAAACTGTAATAATTTTATTATTCTATACTGCATTTTTTTCTACAATTTTTTTTTTAATATTAAAATATATAGTTCTTCTTCACAAAGTATTCCTGGATTTCCTCCAGAGTTTTACCTCGAAGTCTCTGGCAAAAAATGATTACAAATATAGTTCAGACCGCTCAGTATTGTATCAGGGACAGGAATGTCAATCTGTATGCTGACTCTGGGTAGTTATATTTTATGTATCAAACAAGGACTAATCAGTGAAGAGTTGGAGAAAAAACTGACTTTGATTCCTCTGTCTTTATTGATACTGTATTTCTTTATAAGTACCATGGGATTCTACCCTATACCTTTTGCATTATCTTCTGAAGTATATCCCGGAAATATAAGAGGTACTGCCGCGGGTTTTGGTGCGGGCTGTAACTTTCTGTTTAACTTTATAACGGTGAAATTGTACCCTACTATGATGGAAAGTATGAACGCCTACGGAGTGTTTTTCTTTTACGGAGGTATGGCCGTAGTTGGAACTATATTTGTAATCATTTTTTTGCCAGAGACCCGAGGTAAAACTCTGGAGGAAATCCAGGAATACTTTGTGAAGAAGGAGAGTACTAAAGAAGAACACGAAAAAATTGTAGAAAAAAATGCAGTATAGAATAATAAAATTTATAAACGTTTTAAAGACATTCAGTGATATTTTTTATTATTTTCTTTGGGTGTTATATTCTGCAGATAAAAATAAGTAAAAAAGGTTCATGTCCTAAAACGCTTCGTTTAGAAGATACAGGATGTGGAAGTTTCATTTTTATTTCGATTTTTTCCAAATAATTTCTGTTGAAGTTTGGTCGCGAATAAATTTCCAATACATTTATTTATATGACTGTATTAAAAAAGCCTCTTCTGTTTTTCGTTTAAAAGACTATCGCTTCTTTCACAATAATTTTTGCGTTGTTAAAATCCTACTCTGTGCTCAAAAAAGAAGAAAGTTTACACTACCCCGTCTCTCCAAAACGAGGCCCGAATGTGTACGAACTTTTATACATATATTTTTGACCACCCTGTATATCTCGAATCTTATCTGTGATCAGTAAATATGTAGATTATACATTACTACTTAAATTTATATGAATTCCTGTTAGGGTTAAGTACTGTGTAAAGTGTAAATAATATTTCCTATAGTGTTAAATCAAAAAGTAAAATTATACATACTTCAAAATAAAAATGATTATTAAATATTGTGAAATTTCTTTTCATTGAGTAATGATTTTTAAAGATTGAAAATAAACATGAAAGAAATTATATAATATACAGGAGGTTAAAAATAGGATACCAAGCTTCAGTAGATTATATGAAGTGGGGTATTAACAGAAATAAAATTTTAGATTTTTAATTTTAGAATAGGGCAATGAATTACTAGTTCTTGCTAAAACTATTAAAATATAACTAACAAACATTTATTGAATAAATAAATAACCACTTTTTATCTAACAGTTTACATAGTATTGTAAATGTAATCAAATGCGAATTCTTCGAAAATATAATAATGATGATAATAATGCACAGCCGAAACTGCTTGACACAGAAACACGAAATTTGGCAAATGTGTTCCTTTAGTGATGTAGTGAGCACTAAGAGGGGATTTTTGGAAATTCGGCCGCTAAGGTGTTGCATAAAAAGTTGCAGAGATCCTTAATTGACAAAAGTGGATACCCGATTTTTGGAAATTTATCCACTACGAAGGTAAAGTTAGGGGTGAAAATTTGTACAAAAATTTGTTAAAATCGCTTTTAAAAGTATAATATATTGCACAGAGGCTTGGGTGACATAACTGAGCCCTGAGAAGCGATGGTAAAACTGGTGGTGAAATTTTGTATATATTTTTTTAAAATTAGTCCTAAAAGGGTTCTAAGAGGGTAAAATAAGAGGCAAAAGTTGTCTCAAAAATTTGTTAAAATGGGTTCTAGAAGTATGAAATTTTGCGTAGAAGTTCCTTAGGTAACGTAACTGAGCACTAAAGAGCGATATTTAGAAATTCGCCTTTTCCAAAATCCCTTCTTAGTGGTGTGAGATTAGAGGTGTATGTTCAGAAAAAAAAAATTTATGTGTATGTATGAAAATTTGCATAGAATATTGTGCCCTTAAGTGATGAAAGTAAGTGCTCGGAAACGATTTTTAAAATTCATCCCCTAAGAGGGTGAAATTAGGGGTGAAATTTTATACAAGTGAACTTTTGAATATTAGTACAAAGAATTGTAATAATGGTTCTAACAAACGTGGGTACCATAAAATAATAAATACAAGAAGAAGTGTCAAGTCAATGTTAAATTATGGAAACAGCGTGGCTGCCTGGGTAACTAATTTTCAGATATGGCGGCTGGGACAATTGACATGACATAGACATGACAATTTCAATTTTATGAAATTTATTTCCGTTTCCGGTTTTTAATGGCGGGCTGTTCAGCAGGTTTAAATGAGGGTTAATATACTTTTTACTCTTTCTAGTAGTAAATAATACAACAAAAAGTACCTCAAAAATATTTATTTGGAATTTAGAACAATGTAAATATGCAAATCAACACAATTAAAGAGCTATAAACCAATAAACTACTGTATCAATATCAAATATTTAAATAATATCAGAGATGCTGTGTTAAAAGTGAATTAGTAAAGTAACAGTGCATTGACTTACAGAAAACTTGAAGATACATAAATGTTTTCACAGCTTCACGGGCATAAAACTAAATAACTGGAAGCAGGAAAAGGCAACCGAAACCCACACAAAACCTGGAATCAAAAAAAATATGTAAAAAACATAAATATAGGTACATAAGACTTTTGTGAATTAAATCAAAACAGGACTTGAATGAAAATAAAATGAATAAAAAATATGATACATATACATCTAATATCTCATTTGTATTTTAAAAATAATCTACATACATAGATGTAATTACGCATTTCTGTTCATCTTGTAGAAAATTAATGTAGGCTAATAATAGTTCAATAATCATAATTTACCTTGTATAACTTGCTTTCAATTGCTCAAAATCACCGATCAG